GGAAAAGGGGTGGGAAAAGGGGTGGGAAAAGGGGTGGGAAAAGGGCTGGGAAAAGGACTGGGAAAAGGGGTGGGAAAAGGGGTGGGAAAAGGGCTGGGAAAAGGGCTGGGAAGGGGGATCCTGCAGGTTCCTTCATCCTCGGAATGAGCTGGAGGCCACCAACACTCCCCAAGACCTGCTGGGCCACCCCTGCCGGGCACGGGGACACGGGGACACAGGGACATGGGGACATGGGGATGTGGGAATCATGGGTCACAGGGACACGGGGATACAGGGACACGGGGACACGGGGATGCGGGAATCATGGGTACAGGGACATGGGGACACGGGGATGCGGGAATCATGGGTACAGGGACACGGGGACATGGGGATGTGGGAATCATGGGTCACAGGGACACAAGGACACAGGGACACGGGGACATAGGGACACGGGGTCACGGGGACACTGGGGACGCGGGGATACATGGACACAGGGACGCGGGGACACGGGGTCACAGCATCATGGGGGTGTGGGATCATGGGATCACGGGGACACAGGGACATGAGGTCATGGGGACACGGGGATACAGGGACATGGGATCATGGGGACACAGGGACAGGCGACACAGGGACATGGAGATATAGGGATACAGGGTCGCAGGGACATGGGGACACGGGGTCACAGGGACATGGGATCATGGGGACATGGGGACACTGGGAACGTGGGGATGCAGGGACACAGGGATGCGGGGACACAGGATCACAGGATCATGGGGACACGGGATCATGGGATCACGGGGACACAGGATCACAGGATCATGGGGACACGGGGTCATGGGATCACGGGGACACAGGGACATGGGAACACAGGGACACGGGGTCATGGGGACACGGGATCACAGGGACATGGGAACACAGGGACACGGGATCACAGGGACATGGGGACATGGGGACATGGGGACACGGAGACATAGGGATACGGGGCCACAGGGACACGGGGATATGGGGTCACAGGATCATGGGGACACGGGATCTTGGGGATACGAGGACATGGGGTCACAGGGACACGGAATCACAGGGTCACAGGGACACAGGGGACACCGGATCACGGGGATACAGGGACACGG